TCATTCATTTTTGTGTCTCCTTGGTCCATGTGGTGGCTTAAGGCGGCAATTGCATTTAGTACTTTTTTCATGTCTCCACCCCCCTCAGCCGGTTCTGTAAAATTTCTTGTTGATTCTCTTTCCTTTTCCTTATCCTTCTTCCCTCTTAAAGCCATTGTAAGCAGTAGAAAGTTCAATAACTTCAAAGAACAACAATTGTAATCCAATAGCAACAGCTTTCTTCCAAATTCTCTAATAGCAATTATAATCCCAGCTATAGAAAGCTCTCTCTTATTGTTCCCAAATATAGATAATAAAATATATAAACAATTCTCAGTTCTCAAGCTTTTAAGTTCAACATGGAGAAAAGGGAAAACTCAACTATAAAAATCCAACAGCAGATTCATAGTCCAATATACATTTATGAGCCAAAAAAAAGAAAAAAAGAAATTTTTTTAATCCCATAGAAAAGGCAAACCATTAACAATTTATGAAATTCTCTATTTAAAATCCATAAAACATTTCCATATAGTAGCAAAGTCCATTTGCCAATTTCCACCCATTACATTCCATGACAGAGAATAAAAAAGTAACTCCCCAGCATCTAAAAGTATAGTCCAGAGATAGATCTTAGATATTAATAAGACAAAAAAAGAAAAAAAATATAATCCAAAGAGGAGGAGAGGAGGAAAAAAACCCAAAACCTTCCTCTTCTAAAGTGATCTAAGACACCGGACTGCAGCGCTAAAGTCTCTTATTCATGAGGCTCTCTGCATTTGTAAAGCACGATGGAATTCCCAGCCACCTTCGCTGCTCTACTCACCGGCTCTCCTGGGGTGGAAGCCAGGACAGGTAGGAGGAACAGCGTCTGGGGCTCTCGTGGTTAATCTTCTGAACCCCCCCCCCCATCCAGGGGGGTATTTGGTGGACTTCTCTCCTCTAGACCCACCACTGATCAAATACAGCTTGGGTGCCCTCAGAGCTCCAAGAAACACGTCAGCGCACTGTCCCGTCCGGGTGGAAACTCGCGCTATGGGGATGTTTGTGATAAGGAGATTACAACTGGCCTGGTTCACATCAGCTTCAAGGATGCTTCCACATGCCTTTATGGTTCAATCTTATTAAGGCGATCCCATTCATCTGAGGCCTCTAAAAACTTGTCTTTTTCACCCAAAGATTCTTTTCTCACAGTCCTCTTCCCCCTTTTGACCCTCAGAAAGGTCAAATTCCAGGTCAGACTGGAGAACTGGATTGAGCCTTACACTCTTCTGGAGGCAATTGTTAAAAAGACCCATTAAACATTGTCCACTACACAGTAATAGGATTACTAGGGCCAGAAGAGCTAGGCATCCTAATAGTAAATTTCTCAGCCACCCAGTTCCAGGCAACCAAGAGGTGAGCCAATTCCACAGATTACTGGGGGCTTGTTCAGTGATATGTTTTGCCAGATCTTGAAATCTTGCACAGTGGCTTTCACACTCAAGGAATTGTCTGTCAGGTTAAAGCAGTACATACCTGGAAATTCCTTGCACCCATAGGCCATCTTGAATAGTACAAAGTCAATGGCCAATCTATTTTGTAAGATTGCTGTTCTTAATTGTTCCTGCTCTTCATTTGGAAGAGCTATAGCATTTGAGGACTTGTTGATGCTTTTTATAACTAAACAGGCCAATTTTCTGAGATCCAGGTAAGCACAGGTTGCTAGACCTGGTGTTCCAATTATGGATACAGCAAGCCCATAAACATCTTTGGTATTCAACAGCCCTACATGGTCATCACAGGTACTGTCAAGTAGGGGGCCCTCTATTCGATATCTTGTGCGATCGCTTGGGCTTATGATGAGTGTAATTTTGAACAAGTGGTACTGCATGAAATGAAGTTAAATGCCC